TTTGCCTTTTTCTTGTACTATCGGGATATCTGGTCACCTGACAGCAGGTAAAAGGAAAAGTGCTTGTGCTGGAGAGAAGTAAAAAATTGTTATTATTGTAAATTGAAACTTGTGTTTGAAATATATTGAGAGACTGTTCAGTATTGTATACCCTGATTTTAATTACATGTAAACACGTAAAATAGTGAAATTAGTGAAATGAGACGATTTCACTCCACAGCCATGACAATACACATTTTAGTAAAATTAGCAGTATTTGCTTTCAATTGAATTCTCAGTAGTGTTAGATTGTTAAACAATCTCTCATCTTTCATTCCCCACTATAGATGAAGTAAAGCTTTTCTGAGGCTTTTCATAGGCTACAAACATCACCAAAGCCAGGCATTTCCGTACTTACATTTATGCAGGATTTATGAACCAGCACCTTTTAAACAGCTTCTAATAGTGTTTCAAATACAAAAAGGAAAAGAAAAAAGTAGAATGGGATTGAACACACAGTTCAACATTGATTTATTGATAGGGACATTTCACAGAGAGGTACAGAAACAAAGAATGTTAATTCACTTAACCTCTATTGTGTTCTGTGCTGTCATGCAGAGACTGATATTGATTCACTGCGTAACTCAGATGTGTGCACTTATGCCCGCACGCATGAACACACACACCCACAAATTCATGTATGTACAAGAAAAAGTGGAATCATGCAGGGAGTAGATTGAGCGGGTGTGAAGCATTAGATCATGGTGTAGAACATGCAGTGTCTTGGAGTCATAGGGGTGCCATTGAGCCATACAACAACAATACTGCGACTGCGAATCCCAGCAGTAATCCTTCTGTATGAAAAATATTCTTCATTATGGCATAAAGGCTAACTTTGTGAAAAGGCAATTCAGCATCTGCTCATGTGTCAGGTGTGTTGAGTTAATTCCACGTTGGCACAATTCCCCAAAACTCTCTGCTTTTCCAACAATTTAACATTCAGCACTTCAACTGACCTGGTGCAGATTTGTTTTCCATATATTCATGTGACCATATGACTGACAGTGGTCATCTGTGTAAAGATTATTCTATACCAACTCTATGTTATGCTGTAGATATGGCAAAGTCTGCTTATTTTGCAGCATAGCCAGCAGCCACTTTAACTTTTTTCAGTCCTCCTAAGTATAGTTGCCACAGTATTATTTCCATAATGTATATTTTGCCATGGAGTGCATGGAAAGTTTTCAAAACTTTGCACAAGTATGTTGTGTCTACATTGATATACGTAAATCTGATCTGGGACAAACGTACAGCCTTATTTATTTTTTATTTTTTAATACATCGGATTGTGTAATCTGTGCTAATTTCTTCAACATTTTGAAGGTAAACAGACGTGAATGTCATTCAGAGTCTCTCCTGCTTGTGTTATTCGTCTAACATGCATTGGTGTTTTCTTTATTTTCTGATTTTTTAAAAGGTGATTGATCTGGATACTCAAAAAAAGGGGTGACATCCCATTTAAATAGTTTGAAATTAGCTTAATATTCAGACCTTCAACAATGTGGAGGTGAGTTTTTTAAACATTCTTATCAGGATTTCTTCCATGTCGGAGCTGTGTCTAAAATAAACAGGTTGGATAGAATTGGTCTGACTTATTGTAAACATCATATAGCACACCCTCTCTGTGCAAACAACGCACGCATGGAAATTGTGACACAACCAAGAATGGAATAGACAGAATGAAAAGAAAAAAAGGCTTATCTAAGCAGTCATCTTTTTCATGTAACGTCTTATGCTAATACCATTTGCACTGAAAACATGCCAATCAAAGCAGAGAACCTATGTATTCAGTCACACTCTGCTGACTTCCAATTTTCCAGAATCAGTTCTTATATTCAGGCTTTTCAAAAAACAGTTACACCTGCTAAAACATGTCTGCTAATGGTGCATATAAAACCTGCAAGACAGCGGCCCTCACAGATGGGATTTGGACTTCTACTCAGAGTGCAACCTGGTGAAATACTTTTTGCTGTACAACTGGGAGAGGGGAGTTTAGGAATAATTAGTTAAGTTTGAAACAAAGTCTCTGTCCAAACTAAAACATATCCATATTTTGCTAAATCTATGTATTTCTTTCACTTTTTAAATTTTTAGGTTCCCAATGTAGACGCTGTCATCTACAGGCCTGGAATGAAAAAAGAAAGACGATATTTGATGCAGTATCTATATTCATGTCTAGGAAATTTTGTTCAAGTGGGGGTAAGTAAACATGTTTCAATAAAAATGTGTAGAACATGAAATTAGAGCTACTGACGTTATAAATGTGATCATATTTAACTTTTTTTTTTTAAATGTTGCGTATATAACAATATTTAAAAAAGGATCCTTCAACAGTGGTCTTTGATTTGTTATGTAAACCTTTTAGGTATAAGTCTTAATATAAATCCTCCTGTAAAAGAATGCAGTACTTCATCTTAACATGATACATTTAGAAACCTCCGGGGTTTACAGTATTGGCTGCTTTCATAGTAAAAGAGTTTCTGAAAGAAATAAAGGCTGCCCCAGCTGTACGAATACTCGCACAGCAGAGCACATTGTCTAGACATCCTATCCGCTGAGGAAAAGGAATTTCTATGTCCGCACAAATCGTGACAAATCACCTTGCCCTTAACAATGGAGCAGAAGCAATATAGGCTTTGATAACTGTGAAGGTTGAGGAGAAATCACGGATGAAAAATAAAAAAACAGAAAGTCGCTGAGGGGGTCTGTGAGTTTGTGTACCTTCAAGTGTTTAGGGCTATAAACACGTTAGGGACACAGGCAGCTGTCAGGGGAAGACGCTGGTGTGCGTGTGCATGTCCGTTCATCACCATTTCTGCGGTGAAAAGCTGATCACTGAGTATTGTGCTATTAATACTGCTGCTTTGACACACACCCTCGCTGGCAAGGCGAACACATACACATTCACACAACGTTTTGTTGCCAGAGACAACTGAGAGCACACTGAGCGCTCAATGGGATTTGTCTCCTCGGGGAACTTGGTCACAGACTGTGCTGGTGTTGTGGCCAAAGCCTGGTGGGCTGCACAGGTTTTCCAAATGCACACTTACCAAACCATCTTACTCTCCTTGCCATCTGTAATATCATCTGCTAAATGGATAACTTTACAGGGAATTGTTCTGAACCAACATATTCAAAATTTATTCAAACATGAAAAACAGACTTTATCAGTTATGATACATTTTTAAATTTACCTGATGTGTATGGCATCATATAATTGTGCATACTAAAGGGGAACTGAGGCTTACTCATTGAGTAATACAGGAAATACAAGTCCAAAAGAAAAAAAATGAGTGACTATAGACACTTAACTTACTTTAACTGTTTTTCTCAGGGGAAAAAATAATTGCTCAAAATTTACGAACATTAACAGACAATACTTAGGCTGCAGGTATTTCTGATTACTATATTTAGACCACTCTAAAAGATAAGGAATGAACTTGAAAAAATTACTCGACAGCTGCTTCAGAGACACTTTAGGATAATCTATCAGCCCCCCTGTAGCTCACATTGGACCGATTGTTTTTTTAACCAAATGAAATCCTGCTCAGTGTCCCCAAACCAAACAAATCAGTTGGTGTCCACAGCTTGAAGGACTGGGAAGATTCCGTGATCTGAATCCAAGAAAGTAATCTGTAACAAACCAAGGCAAAGATATCATTGGAGAATCTTACACTAAGATGCCAAAATTGTCATTCTGTCCACATTTAAACAAGAAGTGATGAAGATGCATGGGTTTGTGTTGTGAATGTGCACCGATATTTGGATATTTGAATTTTCTGAATTTTACATTCATCTTCTTCTCCGCTCTTTGACCAGCTCAAAGCCTAATTAGGTTCAAAATATGAAATATGTAGCAGTGTCCTAAATAAAGCATGCCATGGAGTGGTAACAAATCCCTGTACTCATTGGGCCATCCCATGCTGACATTGTAGATACAATCATTATATACTGTATATGTAAAGTACGATATACCCCAAAAAGAAAACTTTGCATTTTGAAATTCCATTCCTTTTTCTATGGTTATAAAAAGGACCTGTGATGATCCACATTCATACTTTTGCATCATCCAATCAAAGATGATCTTAAGACAGAGGCTACCCAATATGTCTGGTAATTAAAACCTGTAACAATCTGAGCAGAATTGCACCTTCCATTGTTGTAAATAAAATAACAAAGCCAAGAGGACAACATTTTTATTCAATATTACTTTCAAATCTGACAGGCAAAGCTTCAAATATTAATTGCCAAGCCTGGGGAGGATGTGCATATTAAACCCATCCTGGCTGTAGCAACACTTCTGCATGAAGCTGTCAATTTAAGATGCAAACATCCAACTCATTTAGAGATGGCATGCCTGTGCATGGAATAGCCAAGTGAAATATCACTTTCCACAACAAAGTCTGCACCTTTACTCAATAGATCTAATACAGATGCAAAGAAACCAGTTGTTTTCCTTTCCACACTTGTGCCTTAGCTTACTCTACAACTCTACTTTCGCTCCCTCGTATAGATCAGTAAGCATGAGACACCAGTAAATCCCATTCATCAGGTTTACTTGTGAGCTAAACAGATGGGGTTTTGTGCAAACTCCTCCGGCTTCCCCTGAGACAGATTACAAACCACATTCATGGAGTGCTCGGAGAGAGAGAGAGAAAGCTTTGAATCTGATGGCGAGAGATTGTATCTAGATTCACGAGAGCATCAGAACGATTGTGGTTATTCCTGTTTTCCCAAAAGGATTCACAAACAAACAGACGCAGAGATCTTAGTATCAACAAATGATTTAATTCAAACTACAAAACACCTTGTTAGTCTGTGTTCTCTGCAATGATACATGAAAACACCTCCAGATGAAACCTCCGCTCCATTTTTTTGACAGACTTTGACTTTGACAGATATGAGAAAATAAAACAACCACATTTATATTTGAAAACATTAGAATTTGTGTACATCCACGATTGTACATATGCATGTCTCCACCCAACATCACCAACATGACCATTTTGGGTTTAATAAAAGGCAGTGGCGAGTCAGTCTACAGGGACCTGCTATTGTGCTGTATGGAGAGCCTCAACAGAGGCAAAACTTGTGAACCAATAATACATTTTCGGAAACTAAACCCCTCTCTGCAGTCTCTATACATCAATAGGACTGAGGTGACGTAGCTGACATCCACAAGTCTCTTGGCTTGCATCTGACATCCACCCTGACCTGGACTGTAAACACCACAGCCACAGTTAAAAAGGCCCAGCAGCGCCTTTATTTCATCAGGCACTCAGGAAGGCTGGAGGGAGTGGGCGCCCCCTCACTCCAGCCAACAAAGGACTGGTGGAGAGCATCTTCAATATGGGCATCACTGTCTGGTATGGAAACATCACCCAGGCAAAGAAGAGGGCTCCCCAGAGAGTCACCAAGACTGCAGAGCAGATTATCAGACCATATCTTACGTCATTTTACTCTGTACATACATAATGATGCAAGAAAAGAGCAAATATGATGGAAGACAGTAACCATCCAGGTCAGACACTCCTCAGATAGAAACAAACAATCTGAGTATTACAATAGTTTATTTAAAGCCAATGTCAGACTGATGGCAAACACACAATGAGGACAAATTACTGACACAATACATTTGTCGGCTCTAAGTGGAACAAGATGCCACATATATTGCAATATAAACATGATTAAATGTAAATTAGTGTTGCATGTGTGCGGAAGAACCAACAATCTCTGACTTTCTCAAAGTCAGAAATTGTCTCAAAGTATGGCAGGTGTATGGTAATAAATCAGAACAGAGACATATGTGGGGGCTCTATAAGTATGGACAAGCATTTTACACTCAATTCTAAAATGGACTGGAGGCCAATGCTGAAACTGGACTGACTAGAGCTCTTTTCAGGGTATAAGTTAAAAGTCGTACAGCTGCATTCTGTACAGCCTGTAAACAGTCAAGGTCTTTCTTATTAAAACAGATAAAAAGACAGTAAGTGAAAGCTTGGTTAATCATCTCTAGAAAGAAGCCATTTCTGTTTGGATCATTACAGTGCTGCCCTAAGGACAATGCCGAACCTAAAGTGACACTTAAATTCCTTAAAAAACTGCCTAGAGTCTCCCTAATGAACTACTTCATCTGAGGAATTCTGTGATTTGTTGCAATGATTAACAATCCGGTCCAGTCGGAGTTGAGTGTTAAGTAATTGCCATTCAAACATTGATTAATATTAGTTTCACATGCCAAATGCATTAAACTATTCATCCACCCCCGTCTTCTTCACATGATTGGTTCTATGAGATCTTTCTATGATGCAGTCTCTAAGATGATATTGTCACATTTTTTGTTGGTAATTCTCCTCATACTTAGCCCACTATAGTCCTCCATTTTAAGCAATCTCCTATCTTAAAGTTTGACAGAAATGACACAAATTACAACTTTTAAGGTTCCTTCTGACTTCACACATTTGCTATTAAGTGCATGGTTAAGCCCAAAAGATATCTTCAGTAGGTGTACATCAATTCTGTAACATATAAGAGTGGTTTGAAATAACTGAATAAGCCAGGACTATAATATTGCCGTTTTAAATATCCCTCTAGTGTGTCAAATTGTCAAACATAATAAGAAGGTTAAAGTGAAGCGATAGGCAATTGAATTCTTGCATACATTTTCACTGTTGTGATGTATATTATTGCAAGTTAACATGCAATGGGCATAAGTCAGAGACATGCATCAGTGAGAATGACACCGGACTTAGATTGATGCATACATGCCCAAAGTGGGAAAACTGAGCGTTTGAGCAAAGAGACCATGCTGAATTGTTGTGCTCATTCTAACCAGACATGAAAACACTAGAGTCGATTTAAACACCAAGCCATAACGTTAAATGTTCTACTGGCAAAACCTTCACACTGGCATTAAGATGGCTGTTACTTTGACACTTGCCACTTAATTAAGCATCTTTGTAAACCAATCACACCCTCCACATGGTAACAGCACTTCTCCAATAGTAGCAGCCTCCCTCAGCAGGACAGTAAAACTGCTAATGACTCAAAGAACACAAGAAGATTGAGTCTGGGGTAAGCAGTAATTTGAAATCCCCATCTCAAAACCTACAGAACCACAGGATCTACCACTGAAAACTGTAAAACTGATCGTCAAAATACTTAATTATAAGAGATGAACAATTACTGTGGCATTTTGGACAGATTTAAGAATATATTCTGATGATTAATTCCTCTCAGCTGCATAAATACGCATCTCCAACACTAAGTGGGAACAGACTCTCCTCCATCTAATCTAATAAGGGAACATGGAATCAGCTTTGGCCCAAATATGCTGTATACACTTATAAATCAGCCAAACTTTCCAAAAAGGACTGAAAAAGTCCAGCATGTCTAACAATTTTTTCTTTGTGAAGGACACTGATGTTTCCCACATCCTGACAAACGTATTATATCTGGCACGCATTTAATGCTCACTAAATCAAATCTATACTTGAGTGATAAAGTGAGAAATGAAACCAGGAAAAGTCTCGCATTATCCGCAAGATTGAGATGGATCTACTGACAAGGGATTTACACAGGCAGATGTGCCAGAGATACGCCATCGGTTCTTACTTAGCAGCACAGAGGAACAGGTTGTTAGTGCCAGTATAAGAGACACTGAGATCCATGTCAGCCCTAGCCACTGTAGTTGGCGTACTCATGCAGAAAATGCACCCCTCTGTACTTCAGGAGAGCTGGGCACAAAACGCAAACAGAGATTTGTGTCAGGCTCAATCCAGAATTATGAACTAAACCCATTCTCGACTCAGCTGGAATCTGTTAAAATCATTATGACGTCTTCCCTTCTGCCTCTGTTCTCTCTGAGGAGAAAATGGGCTGCAGGACCTGTTGGCTGACAAGGGCTAGTGTGCTTGAAACAAGATCAATCTTTATTTTATCTTAATAATTAGTTATCTTATAGGGTGTACTTGTAAGAAAAAGCAGGATTATAATGCTTCTGTGCTTTGGCTTTTTTAAGTTTCAGATGGATACATAAATCTTTAGATGCAATAAAGTGAGGGATGAGTGTTTCTCCTCCTCCATCATGTTATGACAGTGTCTTTACTGTGCTGTCGATCTACGCGGCCACTTAACAGTCTGTAAAACCTCGAGGATCTGTGGCCAGATTGTCATCATGAATGGTGTTAATCTAATGGACATTCTGGCTGGCCAAGCCAAGGAAGACATCAGTTAGGCTAATCTTTGCCCTGGCATCATTTGTCCACTGGCATAATTTCACCAGATGGGTTTAGTCTTCATCCAAGAATCCAAATCCGATGAGAACCGACAACAGTTGGCATTCTTCTTAGCCTTCTCTTGTGTGTCACCTAACGGAAAATGTAATCAATAAAACTGAACCATCCCCGTTTTAATAAATCAATTAGCTGTTGAATGCATCTACCGTATATTTGTCATTTATTATTGGCTGAGCCTTTATGTTTCCAGTATCATACACATGTATAAGTGGTCACTGGCTCCATTAATAAATTGTCCTGTGCATGTGCCCAGAGGGTGCGCGGCAGCAGCACCTGTCAACCCAAAGAGAAAGATAAGAAATCAAGGCAGCCTACGTGGTTGAGTAAGCAACAAGACATGAGCCAGGTAGTAGAAAAGAAAATGAGACACAGACAAGAGGACTTTAATCCAAGACCAATTTGGTCCTTTTAGTGAGGAAGTGGACTACAAACGCCTGCTAGAGAACATCGTGCTTCATACTCTGCCAAACGAGGTCCGTTAGACAAGAGGGAAGAAAATAAGTAAGACCGTGCGATGAACAGGAAATGTTAAAGCATATTTGTAGCACTTATGGCTTTTGGGCCAGGCGTAGATTCTGGGGGAAAAAAGCAGGATGAGGTAATTTCACTTCGAAAACTGAAATGCTTGCTTCCAGTTAAGTTCTTCTGATTTAAAACGTGAGGAGAATAAAATTTTGAGACTAAAAAAAAAGGAAGGGGGGGATTAAATTATTAGTTGTGACAGTTTCTTCTGAATGATTCCAACTCAAAATGTCATAATTATTCTACTATACTTATTTTACTATACCTAGCACTTCCTTTAAGTGCAAGTTTGAGCCACATGCTGGACTTCTGAAGCTCCTACACCTGACAATTATGAATTTACAGTTGAAGGAATACAAAGACAATTAAAGAATATGTGAGGAAGTTCAGCAAGTTAGGGTGTTTGTATTAAAGTCTCATAGCACAGCCATGCTCAATTCACAAATAAAAAGCCACTGTGTTTAATTACATTTTTCTCTGTATTGACTTAAATTTCAGTAGTCCTAGTTCACAGTTCATTAAAAATCACCCAAGTCTGAAGCTGGTCAATACCATCTAATGAACAGATTCTGTAAAACAAGGGTTAGAACATGCAATCTCAGCGAATTCCCAAACTTTTCCACTGTAACAAAACTTGGGCTTTGTATTCATGCATGTAGTAGATTCATTAAAATAACTTAATCACAACATGCAATTGTTTCCACAAATTTTGTTGTCACATCCAGATGTGTGTGTGCATGTGTGTGTGGGTGGGACGGGGGGGGGGGTTGCACCTTTTTCTTTTCATCCTTGAATAGAAAAAAAAAGACAACAACCAGCCATCACCTCCCCTGAACTTTTCCATACTGTGAATTTAGTGTTTCTAATGATGTCAAAAGTCACAGATCCAAAGAGTCTCATCTGAATGGAGCGGATGGTGGGAGAGTGAGGGAAATTTGCTTATTTGAGCTGAGAACAACTAATCATGTCAGAGTGCTCATAATAAAAGCTTTCCAACAGGTTTTAATCAGTCCACATGGAAGGTTTTCAGGAGATAAATTTCCTAAAATGGATTTTAAAGGATGCAGATGTAGCATTTTTATAATCAGAGACCAGTTTTAAAAGGGTACAGCAATTATTTTAGAAGGATGTTCAATAAGGACCTTTGGTGGATTAAAAACATTGAAAACTTTTCATTTAAAAAAGCTGTCGTGTCATCACTTAATTTTAATCACGGGAAATGTGTAACACTCATGTGTAACACTTGTTTGGATATTCACAGACTCATATGGCCACGGAAAGCAAACTTAGCATTTCCTTTTTGGAATATGATGTTTTTCAAAATTCCACAACAAGCAGCAAATGGTTGACAAAGTTACCAAATAAAGAGCAAAAAAATATCTGAATTTATAACAATGTTCTTCCGAAGGTTTGATAAGTAGACAGTAATATGATGAAAAAGTATAAAGTAGATTGCTAAACACTGGATGGAGAGAAGAGAAGATCAGCTATTGGGACTGGTGGCTTGACCCATTCAGTGGAAGATGTTACGGCATAAAGGAGCCATCTGTCGCACTTTGGAATATTAGAATGCTAGTGTAAAGCGAAAAGCTTCCGTATTCTGCATGTTGAACTCTCCAAACTAACAGAGAGACCATTGAGGCTCTAGGTGAGTAA